GGGATGTTCTGGGGGTGGCATCCCTTCGGGAGGCGGCGGCACCAAAGTTGCCTGCAAGGACGTCAAACATCGAAAACAACGATCTCACGGCACCATCCAAGGACTGAGCAATCGTACCGCGCGATTGTTGTAAGATGTCCAGAAGTCGGTCACTTCAGCAGTCATCTCGGTTTGATCCATGTACGAGAGCGGGGGACGTCCATCGACGCAGTTGACATGAGCTAGTGTCTGGTTGTCATGGCTGGCACACGGGTCGACTTCAAGAGCAGTCGCCCTTGCACGCGCCGCGATCAACTGAATTGGTTTGCATGCCGCCGCGTACAAGGACCAGACGATGGACGAAGCGCTTCCCGAAAACGAGCCGCGTCGACTTCTTTGGCTGGTCGCTGGCGAATTTAGTACAGATGTCGTGGCTCGGCCACCAAGCCCCTCCTTCACGCGCAGCGCAAAGACATAGCCATTCTGGAAGATCAAATGCAGCAAATCGCCAAGAACAATCGGCGATTTCTCGGCGACGATGGTTGACCATGGGTCGCATCGAGCGTCAATGCCGTAGTGCGCTCCTACAAACACGCAAGCCATGACGAGACATAAGGTTGTCTTGATCCCGCGAGCTCCGCACCCCACAAGATGCCAAGGGAGGTCGCCACGGCAGTGTGGGCGTGGTAAAATCCATCCTCGAGTCGTTCCAATCCGTTCTGGATCGACGTTGCGGCTCCGAACAAGCTCAATATCACGTGGAGCGACGAAACAACATGCGCTAGCCATTCGACCTGTGAGAGGACGACGACCGTTTGATGGGGGGCGCCTCCTGCCCACCACTAGGACTGTAGTCGGTTGGGACTGGAATATCGGGAAGCATGGACAGCACCTACGAAAATGTTTTGATTCCATGTCCAAGGGGACAAATGAGGATGTACTCGCTGAACGGGGCCGCAAGCGACATGGGTCGTCCAGTAGTCTGACGGAAACCCACGAGCGATGAAGCTTGGTCGCATGAGCGCTTCCTTGCTTACGCCTTGAATGCATCCCAAGACAAGCATGCCCTACTCATGAAGCCGTCAGTACATGGAGTTGAAGCAATCAAAGAGGGGCAAGCGTAGCGTACCAAGTAGCGCGCAACTTGTTGAACTTCGGGGGGAGAGTTCTGGACTGTCGCCATGGCCAAGTCCATGGCATGTTGGGGAGCCAACGAGTGCAGCAGCACCTGCGATCACCAGCATGGATTTTATGCAGCGAGCGACATCCTCCACCGTACAAGCGTGAGGGCCCGCGACAGCAGCGTGTCATGCGGAAGTGCCTCGGTGGCCGGGGGACATGTTCCCTGCAGCGCAGCTATTTCCAGTGCTTCAAACGTCGACAGCGATCGTGGTCGACTCGACGCAGACAATAACCCTGCTCAACTCGCCGAGTTGAGTCCACAACAACCATGATTTGCTCATTCCCAGCTATCTGGCATTCGGCAGCTTCGCCGAAACGTACCATTTCGATACCATTGCAATAGCAATGACGTAAACCCTGCATGAAGCCCGTCAAAGTCTTCCACTTGTGGATCGAGCACGGCGGACATGATTGTGCAGAGCAGCGTTGCCTGCGCTGGAGGTGACTGGAATAAGCACTACACTGCGAGTTTCATATCGCCACAACGCACCCCGTGGAAACCCCACTGCAGCTTGCTGTCTGCATGTCGCGTACAGTCGCCGACAACCCCGAGCCACATCGCCGACACGACTCGGTATCGAAAGACGTCGATCACGCCGGTGGTCGCAATTGTGCCACATAATGTCGAGTCCACTTCCGCTGCAAGCATCGTCCGTCGCTCTTCCTGTTCTTGATACAAGATCCGTTGGCGCTCTATGTCGGCGTGTTGCAGCTGTAGCATAGCTAACTTATCGGCCTCGGCCTCTTCTTTCGAGATCGTAGGAGCTGCGACCATCGCCGACGAAGGAGACGGGTGGTTTCCACCTTTCGGCAATTTTTTTGCCTTTGCTGGTGCCATGGGCACCGCGCGAGCTGGCGGCGGTTCGAAGAGAAGGAGGATGCGCGTCGTCGACGAGACGACGGGCTAATTATAGGACTGTTCGAGAACAACAGGAGCTTGCGACGACATGGGCGGCACATGGGCCTCGCACAAATGACATTTGTGCATATTCAACGCCACAATACGCAGGATCATCCTATCTGTTCCAGCGACTCGGAACTCCCTGAAGCGACCAATTTCACCCGTTTCAAGCGTCCAGAAGCGGTTTTTGTCACAAGTTTGAGCTGTCCCTTCTTGAGGTACGTACGACATTTTGATTGGTTAAAATAATTGAATTGTCGAAGCGATGTCTAATCAAATCTTGTAATTTCACTCAATATTAATCCAATCAAACAGCGCACAACATAAACTAGGTACAAGGGATATTCCATTTCGCACACCTGCGAGGAGGCTTAAAGCACGGCGACAGCACCGCCGCGCTGCCAGTTGGAGAGCTGACTGCTTCGGTTGCTGTCGACGAAGAAGTCGCCTTGATCAAAGTCGCGCTGCTTTTCTTCCGTGACGGAGCGGCGGTTGCGGATGGCAAACATCACTACAGCCACGACAGCAGCCACACCGACAGCGCCACCGAGAAGGCCGCCGATAAGCGAGCCCGCATCGCCCGAATCGTCGCCAGACGATGTGTTGACAAGGGTGTCCTTCACGGCGTTGCTAGGGGCGTTCGCTTCCGACACGGCCCCTCCGTTTCCTCCACTTGCATCTGCCGGACCTTCCGGCAGGTCATTTGTTGCAGTCGCATCAATGGACGAAATCGTGAATGCGGACGAGTTCGTGCCGTTGACAAGTGGCTCAAGGGTGGTGGTGTTCGTCGAATTCGAGAGGCTCTCGGTCATCGGCACTGCGGTTGTGTTGACAGTCGAGGGCTCCGGGGTCGGGGCTGGCGTCGGCGCGGGCGTCGGGGCCGGGGTAGGGGCGAGTGTGGTGGGAGCAGGCGTCGGCTTGGGGGTCGTTACCACTGGGACAACATCGAATTTCCACGTCGAGCCATCGGCGGACAGTCCAAAGTGGGCTTCATCGCCGCCTTTAATCGTCACATCGTGGAACTGAAAGTAGTACGGGCACTCGCCGCCTTCGGTCTGCTTCCACGTCTGGTAGTCCATGAAGTACTTCCTTGCGTTGTCAAACGTGGCTTTGTCGTTGCCCGCCGACGGCCACCCCGTTTCGGTGAGGTGAACTCGACCAGGGAATTTGTTTGCGACTTCATTGAAGCGGATCGTGAGCTGGCTGATCGGCGCTCCCGTAGCGTACGGGTACACGTTAATCCCGATCACGTCGCAGGCAGCGGCCAAATCGCCGTGCGCGGGGTCTTTCATGGTGGCGTCCGTTTCGACGGTGCCGACGGGGACTCGGATCCCGGCGGCAGCCAGCGCTGCCTTGGTGGCGCCGATGCGGCTCAAGAGCACGCTTTTCGGGAACCCAGAGAACACGTCTTCGTTCCCGACGTACACTTGCTGGCACGTACCGGGGTTGCGCTTGATGCCGTCGACGAGGGCATTCAAATCACGCTGAAAGAAGTCTTCGCCCAGGCGGTTCCAGAGGCCACAGGCCATGCCGAGCCCGGCCTTGGCACCGACGTCGATGAGGTTCACCGATCCACGGGAAGTGCCCTCCACCAACGTTTGGTACGTGCGGACGTTGGAGAACTTCGTTTTGATCACAGCAAAGTGTTGTTCAGCATTGCCGGCCTGGTACGAGTCGTACGCGACACCGGAGCACCCACCAGCGCCAGTGGACGCTGTGTGCGCTTCGATGGGGTGGTCGGATTGGGACCCGATCACGGCGGCGGTCGTCCCGAGCACGGCGACGGCCGCGACGGCGCTCGCAATCTTCTTCTTGAGAGGGGAGAAGGTCCACACGGATACGACAGGTCCCGAAGGCGTCGTGGGCGCAGCGAAGGCTTGCATGTCGTTCGACGTGGAAAGCACGTTGCCAAATACTCGCTCCAACACCGCGCCAGACCATTAGCTTCGCCATTTCTCTGGTCGCCGGCTGGCACAACGCAGTAGCTGTGCGCATTACGCCCACGTGGCCCCTGGTTCCCCTCCATGGTTTCACGACACAGTGTTGCAACATCTCCTGTTCAAAGTGCAGACAATTCAAGGACGGTCGTGTGGGTTTTCGTCGATCTATTCTTTTCGTTTCATGCTATTCGACATGTATATAATTCGAATTTTTTGAGCATCCACGACGATATGTTGCATCATATGAGGTCTTTCCATGGATAACACTTCCCGTCGTGAGCCTGCATACCCTGGAATGCTACTCTACACGGACGAGATTTTCACTTGATTTATGTAAGTGTTCGTTGTCCCGTCGTGGCGTAATGTGTTCCAGCCAATCAGATGGTCCATATTGTGGTTAGAAGCGATCGGATTGGTGCATCGGTCGCTGCATCTTTTTTCAGTGTGTGGGAGGGAGTCTGTCCTGGGGCGCCACTCCCGCTTGGACAACGATCGCTGAGATCGTCGACGTGTGGATGCGATATCTCGGTCGACGCTTTTTCCTTGACCAGCGCACGAGATACGGGGTTACGTGAGTGTGGAAGAGATGTCAAGTGAAGGTGCGACGCGAGTGGTGGTGCATCCATCCGAGTCGTTCAGCCAGCACAGTGTTCGTAACGCTACGTCGATTCCAGCAGGTTTCAAGTCCCTCCTCCCCCCGTCGCCCCCATGCAACGGGCAAACGATCGTGCGCACACACACGAACGACGGCATGTTGCCTGCAGCAGCACGTCGTCGTGGGGCATCGAGTGGACGACGCAGCGGTCGGTCGTCTGGTCGGTGGGTCGTCCACGGCGGCGGTGGGATCCGCTCTGCATACGGTTGTTTGGAGTACGAACTTGACCAATGGGGGAAAATTGTACGGTACAATTACAGTGTACAATTGTGCAGTTGGCACGATTGAATCGGCGGCCACCCCGCGCGAACCCGAGTGTACATCCACAGCCGTTCGCGTACTCGCAGCATGGCTATCCATCCACTCGATGATCTACCAGAGCAACATCGATCGCACAGGCACGATGCGTGTCGATGGTGTCGTTCTACCGCCCGCACTCGAGTGCACTTCGTAGGGGCCACGGCACGAAGTGAAGCCCGCATGGAGTAACAACACGGATTTGACGGCCACGAGCCGTGCTTTCGTCCACCACGGCAACCCACTCGATCGCGGTTGTTCGATGACACACGAATGCGCTACATCAACTGTATTGGCGACGTCGTACGACCTACTACTACTCGAGGAGGATCATGTCACCCCGCATGGACAACGTCTTCGGGACTCCCGTGGTCGACGACGTGGGGCTCACGGTGCGTTTGGAACACCCCGCCGTCGCAGCATCGCCAAATACCTTGAATTGCATCCACGACTCGGGGTCCGGATCATGCAACGATGGCGGGACTCTCGGCTGCCGCTTGATCTCGGTCGCGCTAATATCGTACCCGTTCGCGCCGTCGGCATCGTACACGACGGACGACGACGACTGGTCGTCCAATGTAATGTAGCTCAGGCGGTTGAGAAGATCGTCGTTGTCGCGGGCTTCGCTCGCCGAGTAGGGCTTGTGTGCAAGGACGAAAAACGCCGGCTCTGCGACCGTTGGGTTGGGCTGCGTCGCAACAGCCGGGGTTAAAGCACTCAACGTTGTGGCGTTCATGAGCTTATCCATCGAGTGCAGTTGCTCGGGCGATAACGAGTGAGACAAGTAGGATGCCGACGCCGTGTCGCCGTGCAGGGTCGCGCTGCTGTCGGACCGGTGCGAGTGGTCAAAGCTCTTGGTGATCGATGTTGTGCCATTCGATCGCATCGACGCGATGTTCTTGGCGTCATCAAAACTCATGTTGCGACTCGAGTTGCTCACGCTGTACTCGGACGAGCTGCGCTGGCACATCATGGCGCTGCCGCTGGACATGCTTGCCGCGTCAAAGCACCGGGTGCAGCTGCGCACGGCCGACACGTGGACGACGTGTCCTTGGTCCACGACCGGTCGGCCATCCAGCGGCAACGACTTGGAGCAGTCGTTGCACACCGAGTTCCCGCAGAGTCGGCAGTGGTGGCGCCGGCGAAACGTCCGAAATGTTTTTCGACACAGGATGCAGTGCTCGGTTTCTTTCCAGAGAGGCTTGGGGACAAGCTCGATCGTGCGAAGGTTGCGCGCGAGGTTGGCGACGCACATCGCCAGCCTGTGCATCCACTTGGAGCCGCGGACGTACCCGGTCTCGTTCTCGAGCGTGAGAACAAACGACACACGGCTGACGTCCGTGTCGTTGGTCTGCTCGACGTAGAACCCGCAGTTGCGCATGAAGTACCTCGTGCACCCCGTGAGCTTTTGGCGCAGAAGCGGAATCTCCCGCGCCATGTTGACCGATTCCCACACGAGGGACCCGGCAGCGACAACGCCGTCACTGTGGTCGCTCGTCGTGACAAGGCTGCCGGTCGCCGTCTGCTCGTACAGCTGCGCGTACGACGCAAACACGATGTCCCTTGTTTCCATCTTGTCTGTGTTCAAGGCCATCCAGTGCACCGAAATGGGCTGGTTCGTCACAAACGCGAGCGTCGCGCCCTTGTACGCGTACAAGTCAAAGAGGTTGTGCACCATCTCGTCAAAGTCGCCCGTGCTGCCCATGCGGAATCGGTCGAGGATGTCCTCCACCGACGCCCGCACCGTCGTTTCGCCTTTGACCATGAACTGGTTCTTCGGGTTCGTCCCTTCAAACACGCTCACGCCGCGCTTTTCCTTGACAAACGTGACGCGGCACGCACTTTTGTCGGTCGTGTGCATGCGCACGAGCTCCGTGCTGCGTTTCCGTGTGAGTTGGACCAGCGCGTCTTCGGTCTCGGGTTTCAACGTCTTGGGGCGCAGCGCCTGCATCTGGTCCCCAAAGACTTTGTCGGCCTGGTGGCTCCCGCTTTCAGGATATCCCATGTACATCATGTTGTCGACAACGGCAAGTCTCTCGCCAGCGAACGCCACGGAACAGTATTGGACGGAGCGACGCGGGGGTGGTCGGGACGCCCGAGCTACGCGATGCCGAGAGACAGAAATAACTCTCTAGGGCGCCTAAACGTGGCTGTTGCGACGTATCAAATGTCACAGGTTTTCTTCGGATTGCTCCATGCACCACCATGTGCGCATACGTCGGCTGCTGCATCGCGATGATTGTGCGCCTGGCATGAACCTTCGCGTCGAGTGCCCGTCGGTTCGTTGGAGAAGGGGCGAAACTCAAAACCCTCCGACGACGACCCTCGACACCGTTGAGAGCGACGTTGTCCCACTTCTTTTTCGCGGTAGGACTCGAGTGCTGGCGGTGGGTGCGGTTCGACGGCGCATCAGCCAGATCCGACAGAGGGTTTCAAAGGCTCACCGTCTGGAATCCATCTGTGCAAAGCTGTGGCTTGAGCCGCTGGAATGCGATTCGCCCGCACGACGCCGTAAAGCGCCGACGACACTGTCGGCAGAGGAAGGGATGGCGTGCTTTGGCGACAGCAGGTCTCATCATATAGCGGTGAAGTATGTGTTTTGACAGGTTTTTCCAGTCGCGGATATCGGAGGCACCACGTCGTCAGGCTGGACCGAAGTGCGCCTAACGTCCTTGGAAGAATGCGGCAAAGATGGACGGGCGGGGTCTGCGCGGCCACGTCGTACGTCGACGGAGGATGTGACAAGCGCCGCCTCCCGACGAAAACGTGTGGGTTACGTTGACGGTATGTCGCACCCACTGATGGGCGGTCGGAATTTGTGTCTGGCCTTCCATCATGCCACGCACTTCTTGATCCTGTTGCGGCGGTGGGTTTCACGACGGGCGGAGAGACTTCAAACGTGAGCATGGCGACTCAACGACGCCGCATATCGAGAAGGGAATGGGCATGGTGCATAAACTATTTGTGTTCTTCTTGCTGGCGAGGGCAGGACGCGCTCGAACGACGCTCACCCATCAGCGACGCGGTGAACCATATTGCAGCTGGTTTCGCAAGTTAGGTCGATGCATCGCTCATGATTGGCCAAATATGGGAATTTCGTGCTTTTGGATTGGATCCGACCCATTCTCGGCCATTGATTGGTCAAATATATGTATTCACGGCGTGGGGAGCTTCGACACATGATTGAGAGTTTCCAGAGGAGATGAGGCACGCCAGTCTGATGCAATGGCTTGGCTCCTCACGAGATGACCACACTCAGCGCGATTGCAAGCTGAGCACACACGACTCGCATGCGAGTTGTCTCATGGAGGGCGTACTTCGTGGCAAACGTGGCTCGCATGCGAGTTGTGTCATGGAGGGCGTACTTCGTGGCAAATGTGGTTGAGCTAGGTCTTGACAGGGTCTTCCACCATGCACGTTCCACACATGACGGCCAAACAGGCCAGAACGAAACCCATATCTGACACAGACATGTTACATGACACGGCGACACCGTGGCAAGCCTTCGCCAGCATACACTCGAATCGCCACGTCCATTGCCACAGACTCGATGCACCACCACGGGGGGCACACCTTGGGCCTCACAAAAAAAACTTCTATTTTTGGCCAATCAGTGACCTCCGCACACACCCCTTCCATTGATTTTTTTATACTACTCTGACGCGATAAAAATGAAACTATTTCTCCTGGTGACATGTCCTTCGCGAGTTACGGCGGCGGATCGCTGTGCGATGGTCGTCCTCGGGGCGTAGCTGCCGGGTCCATCTCTTCCGAGTCTGTCGATTCACGAGACATCGATCCCTTCTCTTCCAGACGGTCTTCCGGGAGGGTCTGGTGGTTGGACGGGGACCTGTTGGCGAGCTCGAGGAGCTCCATTCGTCGTGCTTGGATCCCACGGGACGACAGGATGGATGGAAATGAGTTGGTGGTGGACGGGACCTGGTGGACAAGCGGGGGCGGTCCCATGCGCCGAGCGGATCGAGGGGTTTCTCGCTTGTCTTGGTTCTCTCCTGGAACTCGTCGCACGCCGCGGCTCCCCACGAGGGGGAACGCTTGAAACGATGCGATGGCGTCGTCCCCCGGTGCACCCCTCAAGTTTTCCCAGCTGTCGCGCAGGTCTCGGCGGAACATGCGATCCTGGCGGTCTAACCTCGTCATGCCGGTGCCCCCCGATAGATCGGAGAATGCAGTCGACTTGACCGGCTGCGGCGTTCGGCACATTCGAGGGGTTGCACTGCTTAACCGAGGACTGTGGCCGATGAGAGAAATGTGCGCACTGCGGCGCATGGACGACGCGAGTTGCGATCCCGGCGAGTGGTGAGGCGACTTGTGGCGTTGCGGCTCGAGCATCGCGTGGTGGTGACGACTGTGCGACTGGCTGCCTTCGCTCGCAACAACGTGGCGGCGGCTCGTGCGCAAGCGACCGGGAGCGGTGCTCCACACCCCGACTTGCCCCCCCTCGTCGCGCATGGGTGGTGGCTGCGGACGGCTGAAGAAATCGTGGTTGGCAAGCATCGCGGCAGGTAGTCGCTGCATCGTACTGCCGACAAACGCGCACTTGGTGCAACTACGTACAGTCGTTTGGGGCAGGATGCGGCCGTCGGCCAGGATCGGGAATTCGACGTCCATCGAACACGAGCATGCCGAGCAGATCGCGTTGCCACAGAGGCGGCAGTGATGGCGCCGTCGAAACATGTTGAACGACTGGTCGCAGAGTCCACAGATAGCGTCCATTGCCCACTTGTGTTTGGGCACCAGTGAGTTCTTGTGATGGTTGCCCTGCCGTGCGAGGCGGGACAGGTTCAGCACACTCAACACGAGGCGCTGCATCCACTGCGTGACTGGGCGCGACGGCGACACGTCGTAGAACGGGCGCCGCGGCTGGCGATGGCGATGGTTTGACTCACTCTCGGTGCACGGGAGCACTTCGGACAGCGACATGACGAGCGTGATGCTTGTCAAGTCGGCGTGAGTTGGGGTTCGGACCTTTTCCACGTACACGCCGCTGTGATGAAAGGCGAGGCGGCGATGGCCCGGCGCTCCATGGCCTTGGACAAGCGCTAGCCGGCGGCGATCTATCGACGTCGAAGCCACAGCAATCGACAGACTAGACGAGTCCCAGATGTGGGTGCCGCACGTCACGAGAGGCGAGTTGCGGCGGGTGGGCACGAGGGGAATCCCACCGGGTACCTTTCGCCGACGGCTCGCGCTTTCATCATCGTCGTCGTCATCGTCGTCCGTGGTCGCGGGCTCATACATTTGACTGTACGAAGTAAAGACGACGTCGCGTCGAGACGAGGGTGTCGCTGCGTACATCGATGTCGATTTGTAGGACGACTCCATGGCACGGGACGGTTTGAGCGACATCCAATGCACCCCGACGCCGTCCAAGTCATCTGGAGTGGGTGGGTCCGTTTTGCAGGACTGGCCATTCTCACTGTCTTGCGTCGTGATGCTGGGATCGACGAGCAGAGATGAAAGACCAGTCGTGGTCGCTGTGTTGCTCGTCGGTCGAGTAGGAGGGGAATGAAGCGTCATTCCTTGATCAAAATATTGACCAAACACTTCGTGCATTGTCGCGGCAAACGCGCCGTCTCCATGCATCTGCAGTGCGGACAACACGTCAAACACGCTGCCTGGGACGGTCGTAGTGCCCTTGACGACGTAATAGCCGTCTTCATGAAATGCATCATAGACTTGCACCGTCGACTGCTTTTCGCCCAAGAAGGTAAAGGATAGAGACTGTGGGCTGTCGACGGACGCGGACCTGGGTAGCTCTGTTTTCCTGTTGCCGCGTTTGCGACTGCGACACCCGGATCCGACGCCCACCATCGACGAATGCTGCTGCAGGAACGCAAGACTCTGTCGTTGTGCCGCGGACGTCAGCGAATTCTCCAAGTCGGGCGCGAGCGGCGTCGACGACACGCGTTCCATGTGCTGGAGAAACTTGGCCATGTCGGCAGCGGCATGGGAAAATTTGTCCTTTTTCGATTTCGCGGGCTGGGCGGAATCCACGAGTTCGACAGCTTTGAGCTGCAAGCGCCGGAAAAAGTCCTATCGCGGAAGAGCATCACTACCGCGACCCTGACGGCGACCTACCATGCTCTCGTCGCAGCGCCACGGTGGAAGTACGTCGACGAGTTGCCGTCGACGACGCTGTAAAGGAGGCTCTCGGGAAGGCGGTATCCATAGAGACAGCCAGTCCCACATGTCTTCAACATTGCAAGTTGTTCACACGTGGTCCGACGTACGAAATTTAATCGAAACATTTATTCAAACGTGGTATTTGTATGAGGAAGGAATATTATTTGACCGCGCTTGTATTGCAACGTTGTGGACGTACACACACACACACCATGGGGCAATGTCCCAGCGGAACTATCCCGACTGCAACACTTGATCCTGTTGACAAGTGGTCCGGATAAAACGCAATACAAACATCAAGAACATGGACTCGCACCTTGGTCGTGATTGGTAGGGAATATCCCCAAGCAAAGCAAGGATATTTCCCTGTACCCAACCACCCACACTTGACGTTTACCTAACGGGGTCACCCTTCTAACGCCAATGACATCGTGCTACTACATGTCACTCCAATCGAACGACCGGCGGCCGCACCGAAAGGACTTGTCCATGCATCTGGCCAAGTGCATTCGCCTAGACGCGGGTACGGGTCGGACAACTCCGACTGGAGGCGGCGAACCAGATGCGACTGCGCGGTGCCTCTTCAGCATCTCAGACGTAGGGCGGGAAACGAGCATGGGTCTTTCCCAACACCGTCGTCCCTGATGCCTAGACAGGGGGGGCCAACTACCGTAAGATATGCACGCGTCTCAGCACGCACGCCCGTATCTGCCGTGACGTCAGGCAATTCCAGCGACTGTGGTGTTACGTCCGCGACGGTAGTGGATGGCGTTGATGAAGTTGTCCAGGACAGTAGGATGACTGCGCAGCGATCGAACGCCCAGGCGGCATGGGGCGTCCACCACCACTTGCCCCCTCGTCAAACGGGCAAGAGGCTTCCTTGAACTTTGCTGAACATTTGGTGACGTCTGAGTACACTGCCTGCTCGGGGGTTGCAGAGTTGGTTGTGCCTCTTCCTTGGTAGTGTAGTCCAAGCTGTGGTGCATTTCTTCTGATATAGCTCAAAATCGAAGGAATGATCCGTGCGAAAAGTACACACCCCACACGCTGGGTGACCACTCGAAAGGACATGGCGATGGAATTATCGTGTTGATGAGGCCAAATTTCAGGTGGTGCTGCCGCCCCAGCCGCTACTACATTACCTCTTTGCACATAGCGCGCCAGGATGATACAAGTGCTGAAGTGATTGGAATCCAAGTGGCTTGACAGGCAGCGTGGTAGGTATGTACACCTCTCCATGTGGGGCGCTCGAGTCGCCATGCCAGGCCATCCCTTTCAGCAACTGCACTTGGCCAACGACCAAAGTAAGGTGTGGCAAACAGTGTGTGTAAGACTTCAATACGTCCTCGTCATGGACAGTTTGTCGACTTTGGACGTGAATCCGAGGAGTTTTCGCGCTCGCTTGCCCAGTTTGGGCGGCGGACTCTTTCCACCCTTGCACAGTGTGAGCTTGGAAGTACGGGACGTCTACAATCGCGGGCGTGTGCATCACGCCATCGAGAACCGTATGGAGATATCCAAAGCCCTTTCACAGGGTTGTATGCCAGATCGTTGGTGAGGGCGGAGGATTGTAGGACGGCATGGACTTGTTGTCGTGGTTTCGATCTGCATTTTTTGAAATGGTCTTGCACCCCGTGCCATACCAGATATATCAAGGGCAATGCCGTTCGTTTTCTAGCACTGGTGAAGTGGTGCCAAAGCACGATGCTGGGTCCAACGCAAGCATCGTCACAAAAAGGACTGCCCCAGATCCAACATTGTGCGTCAATAGTACGTAGCAGAACTGTCCTAGTAAGAAATCGCCCTCGAAGTTAATATACTTTAAAAATCAGTCTAGTCATCCAGACTCACACCACCAAGAGGTTGGGCGTCCCTCGCGCACGTGTTCGCACAGAAATGGGGCTGCGTTCTTGATGGCTGTTTTACGCGGTGTGCACCTAGGTGCCATTGTCAAGTTCACATCTACAGACAACGACAGCGTGGTGGTTCGCCAATCCAAATTTAGCTCGTCCTCCAATAAAAAAGACGAAAAAACGATCAGTGACAATTGTTTTGTCCCATTGCACACTTGAAACGTTGGAGTCCAGTAAGGATGTTCAGTGAAATCCCGCAGCGTTTGCACTTTTTTTGAAATATAAACACTTTTCCAGGAGGACAACGGTACAAAGACAACACAAAAAAAATTGATTTTTGAATGCAACTGGATAAACGCATCAGTCAGTCGAGTGCACGTTGAATTAAATGGCCAAAGCTGGCGTTGGTGTGAACAGTTTGCTGCTCAGGGGTGACGAAAGGTAACATTCCGGTGTGGGCCCAACAGTTCCGAATCGTAGTTGACGAAACACAATTTTCCAATACATCCTTATCCAAACGCCCCCAAGAACTTTATATCGAGCTGTTTTTCACGGGGTATATATTTATACCAGGGTGCAAACGTTGCGGGATCACTGTAGCAAATCGTCCTGCTCAACCTGGCTTGAACGTGTTGTTGCGTACGTGTATCGTTCAATGGCTTTCCAAGCGTTCGCGACGATGCGGTTTTGCCGTCCACGTGTCAATTTTGTGAATTCTGTGGTCGCAGAGGATCATTCGAAACATGATTGGCTATAAAAGGAAGCGTACTTGGACGTGTTTCATCCAATCAGTTTCTTCTATGCACGCTCTTGTCGAAGGATCCATTGCAACGCTCGCCACAGCGTGTGCATATTCCGAAAAGTCCGACCCCTTACCTGGGTGACCCCCCACGGCGACCGCACTTGCGCAGGCTCCGCCCTGCCCGAGGTGAATCTGCTTCCCTAGTCGTATCTGTTGCGACCACTTTCGAAGTGCTGGACCCCTTGCTGAAGAGGCGGTGGGGGCGGACGTGCAACGTTTCGTCCGTTGCCATCATAATGTTCTCGACGTGAAATGCTGCATATTGTTGCACCTGCTCTACTCGCAAGTAGGCACAACACGCGATTGCCCGAGTGCGATGGCTGTGGTAGGTGCATCCAGCATGGTTTCCCTGTGCCGGAGAGGTTGCGGAAAGCGCGATATCACCCAGTCCCCCGCCGACACCGTTCAATTTTATTGCCATGCATCCTCGGTCTACCCGGTCGTGCGTATGTACGTTTAAAATGTGCAGGCGGAGGGGCTCGAACTTCAGCAATGTGTCGTGGCACTTCAAGACAGACGGCACCCTTTCCAGTAAACCTGAGTTCAGAGCCATATCTCTCGCCCACCCACCATCGGTTCAACATGGCTTCCCGTGGAATTGGCGGCGCCTCCAAGGGGCGCCACAACAGAGGGCGACCTGCCGAGCCAGCACGTCCAGTTGCAGTACAGGGGACGCGCAAAATTGTTGTTTTGCCGACGGGGCGCGACGCCACCTCACACGTCCAATCTAAAAATACCATGTTGACTCGCATGCGGGAGACCTGAAAAAGGCCATTTTATCCGGACGTTCGGATAATACCCCCAAGCGGGTGCGTGGAATTTTTGAAGTGGGTTTTCCACCACGACGCTCGGAAGCACACGTGGCTGGGCGAAAATATGTACAAACCTCAAGTTGATTGTTCGAGGTATCCCATTGGGTCTAGTGTCCAAGTGCAGAATTTTGTGGAAAAAATTGAAGTTTTTTTCACGACATGTTGACGATATCGATGGAACGGCCAAACGCGGCAGATGACAAGGCGGATGGACACCAGCACATGCTTTGCCCCATCGTCGTACGTGTTCCTCCTCATCGCAACGCACCTGATCCGTGTTCCTCGGCTTCTCGATGGAAGCGGTCCTGATGGAAGCGAGTACTTCTGGTTGCGTAGACTGGGGCAAAGGAGAACTCGGACAAGACCCCGCCGATGGCGTTCACCACGCAGATGTCGAGGGAGCACCAGCTGTGGAGCTTGCTGGACCTCAGTGACCAGGTCAAGGCCCGCGACACGCATGGCCAGAAACAGTTTGCCAAGGCTCTGCGGTCACTATCGCACCATCCCGTCGACGTGGTCGACGACATGTATCATGCAGCGGAACAAAAGGGTTTCCTTCTAGTACAGGCCAACACGACGCGGCTCGACACGTCGCTCGTGTACCAGCGCGAGCTGTACGGGATCAAGCTGTACGAGAAAATGTCGAACAGCGACTCCACGAGCGGTACACTGGTCGTGCAGGGCGTAAGCGCCGTCGCAGGCACGGTGCCGTCGATCCTCAACACGTTCAACATGCGCCACTCGAAAGCATTCACGTCAACCATGCAAACGCTTCTCCCATCGATCGTGTGCCAAGGAGCCACGGTCGCGTCCGACAACGACGCAACGCATGTGCATTGGATGTCTGTCGTGGGCCTGAACGACGACCACCGACTGAGTGACGTCTTGTTCATGTCCGCGTCGCAGCTGTACGAATCGTCCCCGGCAACGTGCGACGACCTGTCGCTGGTTGCAACGAAGGCCACCGACAACGTCGCGTACGGGACGCACATTTGGGAGTCAATCACGCTGTCGTCTCCAGCGCTGCAGCACTTGGCTCTCTTTGGCCCGGCCGACACAAAATGCGTTCGCTTGCATGTGGTCAATTCAGGTTTCTTCATCGAGCCCGGCGATGTTGACGACGTTTGCCGCGTTACGTTTTCGTTTTCATGTCATTTGACCGGCGCGGACACCGCACACCACCCAAGACTGCGGCAATGGATGGAAGGGGTGGTCGTGACGGGGCTGCAGCAGCTCGCCGCGACGTGCCGGTCCTCGCACCTGCAGCTCGTCCCTCGGCAAAAGTGGGCCGAATCCAATTCGTGTCACCTGTGCACGACATCGTTTCGGTTCAACGTGCTGAGGCGGCGCCACCATTGCCGTCTGTGCGGTCAGTCCATCTGTAGCGCCTGTTCGACCTTTGTCACGCTCGAGACGGTGGTCGACCCGTCGTTGGGGCATCGCAGCCTGTCGGCGAAACTGACCCAAGCGGACTCGGTGCGCAGCTGCTTGCTGTGTGCGTTTGCAGAAAAGTCGACCAAGGTGCCGCCCAAGACGCCGTCGTCTCCATCGTCTTCCTCGGGCACGCGAACGCCCGCCGTCTCGATCGCGTCAACCACCGGTTTGTCCTCGATGACCCAAGACGTTTCCTCCAAGGCGAGCAGAATGAGTACGACGAGCCAGCATTCGCAGCGCGTGCCGTCCGCTTCCAGAGCATCGCTGGCGCTGACGGCCACAACCACCGGGAGCAGTTTTCGGGATAGTTTTCCCACTCGGACGTCGTCAACGCACGATAGCTTCCCGTCGTCGCCGGTGCGTCATGGCAATTGGATGCGCGCGTCATTGGGTAAATTCGTGTTGGATCCGGCTGACATGGCTGCGAGAGCGGCTCTCGTCCATCGAAACGACCGTGCCAACGTGAACGAGCTGTCGACAGCAGTGCCGTCGGGTGTGCAGTCGTCCCCGACGATGCACTCGCACGATTCGAGCGTCGAATGGACTCGATCGAGTCTGTCGACGACTACTGGCAAGTCTCGGCATCGACGGCGATCGTTGCAAACCGCCATGCCCGATCATGACGCGGCAGAGGGTCGGAGACGTGCCGCCGTTGGAGACTCGTTGACCATGTCGTGTTATGGAGACGTGCGCATGTCGGAGCGGCACGCCCGCCGCGCGGCCATGCTTGAACGGTCCAATTCATATTTGGAAATGGCCATGCTCAAGGCGACGACGCCGACGCGGGGGTGGATGCCTTCCGAGAAGGTCAACCGACCGCCGGCCGACTCGCTTCTCTTGCAGGAGTTTGGCATCACCGAGTTAGTGTCGGGCCCATCACTCAAGGTACCATTCGACCCGCACCGCGACCAGGAACAGCGCGCGACTGCCGCTCCTGTGGCGTGATACAAGAGTTAACAAGCGCGCACTGGACCGTCCATCGGACGGCTCACGTGTGCGGCAAACATAGTGGACGTGTCGTTAAGTGGAATGTGCATTGCAACGTGGAATGGCATGGTCGTCGCTTGGGTGGCCGCGCTGCTGCGACGGGTGCGCACTCATAGCTTCGAGCACCTTGTTGATCTGTGGCGATGTTAGATCGAAACACTCTCGCCCGTTGGCCGCAGGCCGCCGAGCGAGTAGTCGTCTGCCCAGCACGTACCTGTTGAACGCTGTACGTCATGTCAAGACGGCGAATGGCGTCGTCGGCGCTCAAGTACCACGCCTTTCGCGCCCGGAGCAGAGCCGCGACGTCGACGTAGCTCATGCCGATATTGGCGCGGAGAACCACTTGACACTACGTCGAGTAAAAACGAGATGAACAGACCCGAGACGAGGGCAACTTACGTGGTCGAGCCATTCGTCGTCCGAGTCGAACGAGTCCCTACTCACGAGCGCGCCGACCTGGTCAGCCATGTTGCCCAGGTATTAATTGCAACCTTACCGGCAATGGCCGATCTCGCGCTCCACGGCGGCGAGCTCATGCTGCAAGAATGCCCACATCTACCAAAACGATTCACCCCGCGGCGGCCAGACGACGCCCCGTCGATGGCGATGCACACCTGCTCCAACGAGTACGCGTTGAACCAGTTGTGGTTGACCGAGAGGGTGTCGCGGTCGAGATTCTGGACTTGGTGATACCATCCACTCGGCACGAACAACGCTTCGCCGACGCCCTACACCGCACACGGATCCTTCCAGACAAACGCATGTCGTTGTGGTCGGCGGCCAAATGCCACAGCCGGACCGACATGTTGTACCTGCACGACGCGGACGTGGTGGGCAGTTGCGAGGTGAGGAAACTGCGTCGCGTCGAACTCGGTTGCGTTGGTGGCGGTGCATCGGCCGCTTCGATCCCACAGCTTCCACGTCTACCCCACGTCGATGAGTCTGTGCATGACAACAGGTCGTCGCACTTCGGTGGGTGGAAAGAGCAGCCATTCCTTTCTACCGCAAATATTGATGGACCAACTATACGACAGCAAGACGTCGTGGTGCAGCGGCGTCGTCGAGCCCGCGGGGCCTACTCAGCACCACGACAGGTGAACGATGGAGACACTGCCACGTCATCACAACCCGACAGCAATCGTACCCAAGTACACAAACCGATAGTCGTCGCGAGTCGGCGTGGTGGGCTGGTCCCACCACCTATGAACGAACGCACCAAGGTCAAGTCAGGGCAGCCAAGGAAGAACGTTCTGAACCAGTTGAGCCAGTCGTCCTGAAAGAAAATTGGAGTCCTACATGCGGGAATGAATTGGCAAGAGTAATGCCATGGAGTGCGATCGACGTACGTGTAGGCGGCGGTCTCTGGAAAATCCCGCGTAAAATGCCAATCTTTCATGTATTGCTGCTTTGCTTCAGCCTTGCCAGATTCCAAAAGCGCCAAATAGGCGTCTATAACACACATGACACCGCGGCAGGAAGCATGCAGAAGCTAGTGACCTAGGGTCATCGTGCCGCGGTCTTCGCCGCCGTAGCCTTCCGTCTTGCCGTACCCCACCACCTGCAGTAAGATGCAGCATGTTAGTCACTGGCGATAGATCAAAGCGGATCGGTGGCAGCGATACCGGAACAACTGCGTCGCCAAAGTGAGCCCTCAAGAACGCGACGTTGACGTCTCCATTGTCCCCTTGCCTCCATGTTTGATAGATAGGCCAGTCAGCTCCAATATTTGTGATGAGCACAGGACGGTTTGGACCCATGTACTGCTTGCAGAACTCGTCATAGGACAAGTCGGACGCGTCAACTCGCGGCACCGCCGCCGTGTCGGTCATGTTTGGTGGTTGAAATTGCGGGCGCGGATTCGTTCGATTTCAGACCAATTCATGACCATTTTAGCCAATCAAACAAGCTCATTTGAATCCCAGTGATTAATTCAATCCGTCAACCGCGATCTTGCGAAGGACGGACCAACAAAACAGGACAAGGAGCTCCACCATTTCACGGTCTTTTCCCCGTCCAACGGCGCCACGCGTCCCATTTGCTGCGCAGCCTCGCAGTGCTTGCATTTGGCGAAGGCAAAGAAGTCGCTCAGATACATCCATGCAGACCCTTACACTAAATAGATGTATTTTGAACCTTTAAGTAGTGTTGACGTGTCGATTCAAGATCGACAGAGAGCCAATCAGAACGCTGTGATTCTGCTCGCACATGACCAAAGACGAGACGAGGGCGCTCCGTAGTGTGTGCGAGCGTCGGGGGCCTTGAAAACGAACGATCTCGATCTCCGCACTGCGGGGCTCTAGTGCCAACCACACGATCTTGGCCCGAATGATTTCCGTCATTGTACTCTTCGGGTGGTCGATGGGGCGGCATTCGAAAATCGAACGACATTTCCAAGGGCCACGCGGTGTCCAAGTCCATTTCAAGATGCCACGTCGGTCGTTGGTGGTGGCGTTGCTATGGCTTGCCTGTGTGGATGCTGCACAGATAGCTATCATCAACCGCCATGCTGAAGCGCCTGTGCCCGTCTCACCGGTTGACCAACATGTCCCGTTGAGCCGCGGGTCGGAACGACCGCCGCCGCCGCGCGTCCCTGGTGGAAGCGGCAATACGTTGTTTGTTGGTCTGTCATCTTTCCGCGATGCCACTCGATGCGGCTACACAATCTTCACTGGGTTTCAGCGCGCCACATACCCGTCACGCGTGCAATTCGGAGTCGTCGATCAGCTGAACGACGGAGACGAGAGCTGTTTGGATGCTTACTGCGCGCTAGCTCGACAAACGTGGCCAGGTCACGAAGATTGTCGCTACAAGGACCAGATTAAGGTCGACACTCGACCCGCCAGTGAATCGCGGGGCCCCAGCGTCGCTCGGCACTATCAACAAGCGTTAGTCGGCGACGAAGTGTTTTGCCTCCAGTTGGATGCCCATAGCATCTTCACTCGCGACTGGGACTCGCGGCTTGTCCAAGAATGGAGCCGCGCCCAAAACGAAATGGCCGTTCTCACGACATACCTCCACGCGTACAGTGCTCAGTACGTCGACGCTGACGGCACGAACGTCGACCCAGGGCAATACCCCCACTTGTGCTCGACGCTTCGAGGAGCCAACGACTGCATCCGAAACGAGGGAGCGAGTATGCTACTCGGGGCAACGCTTCCGCAGTTGACAGCGCTATGGGGGGCCGGATTCAGCTTTAGCAAATGCCATGCCGAGAAGCGCGTGCGCATTGACCCGCATACCCTGTGGATGTTTGATGGGGAAGAGTTTTTGCGGGCGTCGCATTTGTGGACGCATGGCTATGACATGTACAGCCCCAGCATATCCGTCATCTACCACAACTACTCATCCGTGCCAGAGCGGTACGTGTGCAAGTGGCGCCCGTCCCCCGATCGGGGCACCGCTCGTTCTGTTCTCAACCGTGGTTCCTACATGTAGATTTCATGAAATTCCCGTGAACTTTATCACACGAGCTCATGAGAACATGCTCGGTGTTAATCGGTAAGACGTTGTCGTCCATAGCAATGACGAGAATGCGGGAGGCAGCCCCTTTCATGATGCAAAGGTAGCTATCGACAGGCCGTCGGCCTTCCTTACTCTGGGCCGCTTGATACGACGGACATGCAACTGTACGCCTATGGTCCCGTGCGCTCGTTTCAGGAGTACCTCGCCTTTGCCGGTATCGATTTGACTGCCGCCCACGATCCTGGCTCGTGCAAGCAACTACGCTGGCAGCCCTACAAAGATGCGACGTCAGTTGAGGCGCTGTTGCCTGGGTGGACCATGCACCCTCTCTTGGCCGCCAAGGCCGACACCAATGCCTCGGTGGACGTCGACGGTGCTCAACGTCGTGAGAACGATGCCGTGCCTGCAGAAGGACTGCCCGCCGTCGACATCCTCGGCATTCGCGACGGAAAAGTCCTGAGCGGGTCGCTCCTGCGCGTCCACACGTTGTCGAAAGGCGGCGTGCCATACCAAGTCCACGTAACAATTGCGATGGTCGCAATTCTCGTGGGACTCGTCGCGTTTGTCGTCAAAGCAAACCGCCGGGCGGTGCGGCGCCAACTCAAAAAGTTTGTGGTCAAGTAGCGCAGCCGGACCAGTTCCATGTCGGGGTTTGGTTTGCCATGGAGGCAGCACGTCATCGACACCCGTCATGTCGTTTGTACGAGCCCCATCCAACGTGGTGCCACGTAACGAATCTAATTGCAACGCGAGGAGCGAGAGTGATTTCGCATGCAAAGTCATGGCGACCATGGTGTCTGCAATGGGAGTGGTTGGCCTGCTGGCAAAAACGCCCTCCTGACGGGCAAGCGCCCAAATCGATCGTTAGAATGGCACGCACGTTGGCATCTGTGTTGTAGGATGAAGCCCGTACGATCTTACGATGGCGCAACGGCGGCGGCAGTGTTCTTGTCGACCGTCCCTGCGATGACGCTCTGCAGCGACGCCATATCTCGGACGAGTCGCGCCGCGCATTGCAGAATCGGCACCAAAAGCACAGCTCCCGTGCCTTCTCCAAGTCCCATGTTCATGTGCAGCGGCGCGCGAGTCCCCTGCCCGCCCAGCGCTTCGAGCAGGATCGAAGCACCCTTTTCCCGGCTCTGATGCGACAGGAATAAGGCATTCGACATGGTGTCCGGCTCCATACGCAGCGCACACAATGCCGCGGCGCCCGAAATGAATCCGTCCACGACGACGGGCGCGCGCCACTTTGCAGCTTCGAGCATGGCGCCGCACATGGCTGCGATCTCAAGCCCCCCCACCGCAGCCAAGATGCTCAAAACATTCCCTTCCTGGATGCGATCCGCATTCGTGGCTAGGGCTTGTTTCACCAACCGAACTTTTCGCTGAACACCTTCATCATCGAGGCCGGTGCCGCGGCCACATACGCCTTCCGCCGCGGCATTCGTGAGGGCGGCAACGAGTGCACTAGCTGCCGTCGTATTGCCAATGCCGAGCTCACCCACACACACGATGTTGCGGCCAATTTGTGCGACGTATTTCTTGGCTGTGTCGCGGCCGAGTTGGATGGCATCTTGGCACATCTCCAACGTCATAGCAGGACCCTGCGTCATGTCGTTGGTGCCGCGAGCAATGCGCAGGGAGCTTTCACGGTCGCTATCGATGCCAACATCAATGCACGCGACGGGAATTTGCAAGGCCGACGCCATCACCGCTACGGCAGATCGACCTTGATGCGTTGTCTTGTACATGAGCTCCGTCACTTCGCGGGGGTAGGCCGACGGTCCATCCGCGGGCCCTCGCTTCGTAATGCCATGGTCGGCGGCGAAGACGAGGCATGTTGGAGCATCCACGACCGGGGTCAACGTTTGCTGCAGTACACAGAGCTGGACCGCCAAATCTTGGACGTGACCCAGAGCACCTGGTGGTTGCGCCTTTCCATTCATGAGCTCTGTGACGGAGTCCTTGGTGATGATCGCATCCATTGCGCTCGCAGGAGTCGGCATTGCACTGGAGCCACACAACGCCAGGATGGAGCAGCCACGGCATTGGGTGTATGACAGGCGAGGTAAAAACCCGATACGTTTCGCCTGACAAATCGGGTTTAAGATTTTAATCATTAAAACCCGATTCCTACGTGTTAAAACCATGGTTTTATTCTGGAGCATGCGGCAGTGCATACAGCGTGCCGATTTGTGCTGGTGCGGGTCAACGTCGTCGGTGTAGAGATGCCACAGGTCGCTGCCTTGTCGACCTCGTTTTCGCCCTTCTGAAGCAGCAGCATCGTCATGGCCGTTCAATGAATCACCGCCTGCGCCGGCCACAGGATCAGCGTTGATGTAGCTGTCGTCAGCGATGTAGCTTTCGATGTGTCGATCGGGCGATGGCCTCCACAACGAACGTTGTCGGACATGATCACAAGTGCAATGAAAACTGCCAATTGCCCACCTCTTAACAAGGACGGCAGTCCGCACGCTATTAACAGAGGGCGTCAGCATCGAGGGGACCAAATGTCATATTTCGCACTAAACTTGATCGTTTTTACTCAAATTTTGTGGGGTAGAAAGGTTGCTTTGAGCACTGCAAATATTTATTAACAGATCACTCTAAAAGTCAGTATTCTTTAAGAAACGGCGTGTCAAAGTGAAGAATGATAGTCATTTTGCACTGTGTAAATTACACACTGTGACAAAGCATAAATTTGTGTATCCGAACGACAAAAAATCTCAAGGGTCTTTATTGAGCAATTGTTTCACATACACCCTTTCAAATTTTATCGAGGTCACCACCTCATTCTTCAGCATGCGACAAGCCCAGTTCGATGCCATTGCCACCTTTGTGAAGACAGAGCGCCCTCGTGCTCTGACAAAGGAGGAGCGTCTGGACGTTTTACGTCTACACGCGTTTTCCGGCTATCCGGAACTCAATACGTAAACTCACACATCGCCCGCCTCCTTGGCAGAAGCGAGAAAATCGTCAAAGAAGTTTGGAGCGACTACATCTCAGAGCGTGGTGTTGTTGTTGCTAAACCACCTGCCAACCACTTTTCACACGTCACACGAGTCCCACAGACACAATTTGTCCTTTCCCTTGTGCAACAATTTGTCCGGCAACGCCGCGAAACCCGGACACGAACTGTTGCGAAAGATGTTCTTGGTTTGCTCTATGGTCGTGGGTTCATTGATTTTGATATGGAGTCGACGGCTGAGTACAGGGTTTGCTTGCGCTCTATACAGCGCTTTTTGTCTCGAAATGGTTACCAACGTGGCAAGAAAAATGGTGCTATTTGTTATAAATTGGCTTCCAAAGTTGCTCTTGCCCGCGACAAGTATCGCTGTTGCCTGGGTGGACCATGCACCCTCTCTTGGCCGCCAAGGCCGACACCAATGCCTCGTTGGACGTCGACGGTGCTCAACGTCGTGAGAACGATGCCGTGTCAGCAGAAGGACTGCCCGCCGTCGACATCCTGGGCATTCGCGACGGAAAAGTCCTGAGCGGGTCGCTCCTGCGCGTCCACACGTTGTCGAAAGGCGGCGTGCCATACCAAGTCCACGTAACAATTGCGATGGTCGCAATTCTCGTGGGA